TGTTCCAGGTTCCAGAAGAAGCTCTCAACAGCATACAAACGAATTTCTAGCTCCTCTTTCCCTCTCTCATATAACAAACTGGAACAAGTGCCGAAAATAAGGTCCTTACAATCTAGTATAGAGTATTAGGGACCGGAGTTGACCGATGCCGCTTATGTTAGGAACCCGGAGTTTTCCGCTGGATCCAATGTAGTAATCTCGGATTATTTCTAGGCCTTGTACCTATTATCCGATATTTTAATAAAGTAAAACTCGAAATTACTTGGAGGTTTAGTTTATTTTAACTCTGAACGAAACTGATTTTACAAAAGTGCGACTGTTACAATCCGACTGTTCGCTATCGATCTTACAAAGCGGCTCCAATTCTAAAAACTGAAAAGTAACCTGAAGGACAACTAAGTTTATAATTCTCAGGGCAATTCTAATCATCTGGAATAATAAAATTAGGTCTGGGAATCTGGGAATCACCCTCCATGGATTATATTTATTTATATGTATTTACAATAATTTGGGTTACTGTAATAAAGGTACTGAGTACCGACAAATGGAAACATCTTGTTGGGATATTGGTGTTTACAGGACATTGGTTGTAATAATAATTCCAGCCGGTACATCTTTGAAACCTAAATAAGCAATAAGTTATAAAGTACCTTATTGATGAGGGACAGAACCAAACAGATGGTGGAATTTGTTAAAGAGAGGAAATGTAGTGAACAAAATGAACATAATTGTTATTAATAAAATGATGAATTAACGGGTTCACAAGAGTCTAAAGCCATTTCGGTTTATAACGGTAGATTTAGCTTTTGGTATAAAATCGGTGACAATCGATAGATCTGTGGTTCCCAATCAAAACTTTTTCATGACAAGAACTCTTCATTCCTCGCTGGAAAGGTAATTTAACAATCACTAGAATCGGTAAAATCATCAATTCAAATAAAACCTGTACGAGAAGAATAAGACGGAGAGAATAAATGTATCATTTCTCTATGATGATAAAAGTAAATTATCTTATCTACAATTTTCTCTAGGAGTTAGGAATAAATTATGCGAGATTCACAACTTTTTCAAACTCCTTACTCTAAGCGAGGCGATCGTGGCAGTAGGTCGCTAACTGAAAAACGAAGGGGTTCAAAATATAATCAATAACCAAGAAGAGTTCAAATTCAATTCCATAAACGATATCTAGAGAAACACAATGCAACTTGCTCAAATGTCTTAAAACAATCACGAGCCTCCAATCTGTCATATCATGTTACCTTGTTAAAAAAAGAAAACACTCTACAAGCCAAACAGCCACATCGAGGTCACCAAAATAATCGAAAGTTACAAAAACACTAATAATTTCATCTCGTGCACCTGATCTATCATTTACCTAGAAACCGCCGATAAAAATTTCCAACGGGCATTAAATCCTACCAAAAACGTGCAAAAGAAAGCTAATCCAAAAGTGACAATCGGTCCGATCAACCGCGTAAACTCTTCCTTTAGCGGTAGCGGATTGTCGGGGGGACAGTTATCACTGATAAAAAGTGGGGTTCGAAAATGTAGATTTAGTACCGTATTACGGGATGGTTCCGTGCAGTTCCTGCTGGTACATCACGAAGTGAGCTTTGGTTCTTTAAGTGCGGTGCCATTCACCAACCCAGTATGGATTTTACTTGATCTATTAGAAAGTGAGTTTGAATATTTATTTTTAGAAATTTTATACCCTTATACTTATATTTCTAGGATTTTTTTGGATTTTTTTTTTTTTGGTACATTCATCAATAGTTATCTATCCATGGTTCCTATAATCCTTATTTATAAAACTATATTCTGGGCTGGGAACTTCATTAACACATATTCTCTTTTTACTTATACGTACCATTTTCTCATTACCCTGGAACCATTTCGATAATATAAGTTAGCTGTATAAACCTATAGCACCCGAATAATTAGTTGTTGCTGCTATTTGTTGCACCTACATTTTTGTTTAGTATGAGATCGAGTCTAGCAGGATGCATTTACTCTATAGAAAATTTGTTTCAATTGAATTTAGATTCCTCATTGAATGCTAAAACTGTGGACAGTTCTCTAACTGTAAACTTGTAAGTTCTGTGACTAGAGGAAATATATCGTTCAGGATACGCATTTTCTATGACATATCGGCATCGGCTCATTCCTTTTCTTATTTCTGGGTGACATCTGCATCTCTATATTCAAGGCTTCTCAGCTCATCTGCTTCTTCACTTCATGGAGCTGGTATATAAAATACGGCTTCTTATCTGCCTACTGCAGATTTCATCAAAACACACAAAGCTGTAGTCCTCCAGCCATAATGCTAGGAAAGATCTTCGCTTCATCGTGTTCTTTTTCTCACCCCGGCCTTGTTGAGTCTGAATCAACTTCTGCCTTAGACATCCTGATAGCGTGATCCATTCGGCAGGTTTTAAATAGTGATAGCTGGTAGCATCTTCTTTGTAGCTTAGTCACTCGATGCATTGGGAAATGCTCTATCATCGTCTTCAGATTCTTCAAAGATCTTCGCTACGACGATGTCAAGATCCATTGCTTCTTTATCTGATTTGTGAGCTAAATCCACTGGCAAGCTTGCTGCTGTTGCTGTCTTTCGTTTTCTAGGTGTGTCTGTTTTTCGGCTTTGTTTATGCTGCCTGGTTTGGCCCTCTAGGTCCCAAATCATCGCCATTATCTCCTCCAGTCTCAGTTCCTCAACTTGAATGTCGATGGTGGCTTGCGGATCTATCATCCTCTTGTCTGTCATCTCCGTGAGCTCCTTGTTTTTCTTCGTGGAATTCAGTTGGATATTCTTAGGCAATGTAATTGACCAAGAATGGGTAGTAAATAATCTCAAACGCCCACCTGAGCAGTCGGTTAAAAATCCTGTACTATCAGTCTCTGTTCCTGAAGGATGTGCAAACATTCCAAAAACCAATCCCTCATTATCTGGTATCAGATTTTCTCCAGATATGACCACCTAAATGCCGCTGGATACCGGCATTATAGTTTTTGTTTGCTCATGCTCTTGAGAATCGTGTTATGGATGAAATGATTCATTTTCACTTTTCAATGATGTGTTATTTAACCAGAGACTGAGTCTAGCTCAGACGGCTTGCCTTCACTTTTTCTATCTTCAATTTCTTCTCCAGCTTTGTCGCTATCTATTCTTGTTCAGAAATAGGTATCATAGTCATCAAGAATACATCTGGGAGGTGTTCTGGACTGATACAGCATTGGTACCTCTCCGGATGTTTTGTGCATATGAAAATAATATGAATCTGCTTCTAGTTGGTATCCAAGATTTTCAGGCTTTTCTCAAAAAAAGATAGCTTTTTGGGTTTTATGGTGCACTTCCAGCTTCTGCAGCAAAACTGAGCAGGACATTCACAAAATTCTGTGGCTCATTAGTAAAATCTAAAAAAGTCATTATCTTCTTTCAGGTAATATTTAACTAGTGAGCACGACGACAACTGTTCTAATATCTTTTGTATTATTCAGCTCTTTTCGCTGACATGGACATTGAAGCTTTTTGCCTATCTTAGACCCCGAGTGAAACTTCAATAAGTTAGCATTTGGTTCTTGTTCCATCTGTTCAGTTCTTCCATGAATTTGGTTTTTCGCAGCTAGTTGCTCAGTGATCTTTTTTGCCTTCCTAAACGTGCTGCGATGTGTGGCAGGATGGAAATGTGCAATCGTCTCCCTTCCGGCCTCTTTTAAGCACAGGTATAGTTTCACTGTCCATTTTCATATTCCTAAAGGACATTTTTTGTCAGAAATTCCAGTCCTAAACAGTAGCCTTTCATCATTTGAAGAGAGTAGGCGACAAGCAGCATCTCTATAAATATTCAAAAGAAAAGCTTCTCTCGGGAGAATTGTGGGCATTTCACCGGTAAATATTTAAAAGAAAAGCTTCTCTCGGGAGAAAGTGGCGTCCAAGAACTTTATGTAGGTGTGTTAAGATGCATATCTCAACTTTGTCACTATAGAAAACACTGATGTGTGAAAGTGGCTCGAATAAAAAATAATTGAACAGCATATTTGAACTTTTTTCACTTGATATTTAAATGCAAGATGCAAGATACAATTTGAAAGTCTATCAGCATCAGTTTTCGAGGTTACTGGGTCGTACTTTTCAATTTCATTTTTGATAAACGATAAAAAGGGAAACGGTGAAAGTGAACTGCGGTTTTATTGATAATATTATTTATTTTATTGTCCACTTTCGGTTTTATTTTCTTGAAACCGTAACTAATTTTCACTTTAATGTCTGAAACCAATAGGTTTCTTTTTTATTGTTGGTTTACGATTATTTAGAAAGCTCTAGTGTAAATTGCCTTAGTGCACTAAAATGGAATTAGCCGAGAGAAACTAGTTTAGAAGATTTTCAGCTGCCAAAACATTTGAAAGTTCACAAAGCAATTCAAAAAGTTTTTCTATTCGCTTCGCAGCAGAACAACTTCTTAGTTAAAAACTTTTCTTGATTTGTGATTGCGGTTAACAAGTTTAAAAAGAAATGTTTTGTGTATTTCAAAATGTTTGGCGAAAATCCAAGGCAATAAGAACATCGCATTGTGGTCCGGACAGAATTTGAAAATAGGTGAATGAATAGTAATGATAAAGTAACTGTTTTATCAATTTTGATTTATAATTGTTTCTGATCTCTTGATGTTGATTCAGCCTTAAAAGGGGTATACAGTTTTAGTCATTCAATGGAAATATTCTTAGTCATTTCATAATTTACTCACAGACCTTATTTACGGAGGCCACAGACTACATTGAACTTCTTAGGAAATCTGACGGACATAACAGACTGATTTCTTTATAATCTCGTCTCTGCCTGCCTTAATATAATGTATTTACTATCTTGGCTAATTACTTGTTTCCTCCAAAGTGTTTCGATTTCTCGGCATGTTTGCTTCACATTGAAAGAAATCAAGTGAATACTGCTCAGTAGCAGTTAATACTTAAAGGATTTTAATTTAGTTTTTTCTCTTTTTCAGTTACAACAAAGATGTTTACCGTCATTCTTCAGAATCGACATTCAACGTGCAACCTAAAGCAGACTTGGACGAATGTCCTTTACGAGGACAGCCCAAATGTCCGTTTTCTTCCAGACGATTTAGGACTGCAGATGGAACCTGCAATAATTTGGAATATCCTTGGAGAGGATCGGCCATGTTGCCAATGCAAAGATTCTTACCTCCAATGTACCACGACGGTAAATATTTTACTACCTACTATATATTTATCTATTGTGTATAGATCCGTTATCCTATTAGAAAACGATAACTTAATAATGATTTCAAAATCGACTGAATATTAAATGTTTGAAAAGTTCTTAGAAAGTGTGAACTTGACTTTGATAAATGAACTAGTAAAATTCGCATTGACTTATATAGGGCAAAAGAGTTTTCGATAGTAGCAAAAAAATGATTGATGAATTAGCTTTTCGCTATTCGTAAATGTCTGCTTCATCAAGTATTTATGTATAATATACTTTTAAGTTAAATCCAATTATTTGAGCTTCAAATAATGTAAAAAATATGAATGCAGAATAAATACCATAATTGGAAATAACATCAAGACCAAAACAGTGATCGGTAATTTCAACAATCTTCAACTATTAGCCCTTTTTCCAAAATAAATTTTCCACCAAAGGAGTTGATTGTTGATGTTTATATCAACGTCAGTTCTACTCCGTCATAGTGCTCTAATCTTGTTCTTCCGGTAGATATCCCCTGTCAATGTTCTTGCAACCTCTAATATAACAAATTTTACAAATACATCTATCTGACTAATTAACGCGGTTAATTCTCGGTCTGTAGACTACCCTCTCATCTTCCAAACACCATTATTTTATATTAATACGGCGACCCTGGTGCGTGATCGCTGTTTATTATAATTACCGGTGAACCGTCGTTGACAATGACCTTCGATGAGTTCAGGTTCCTCATGTAATTTAATAATTCGGTCAACTTGCACCCAAATATTATTTAAACGTGACGTGATCAATTATTTTCCTGAAACCCATGAACCTTTTTTGGAAGACGATTGGGTTTAATTAACCGAAGGGTGATGTCCTATTTTCCTAGATACAACAATATTTTCCTTGGCTGTTATTGAATCATTTCATTGAAGACTCTGTTTGAGCCAGTGGCTCAGTCTTGTTATTTTATCGCTGTAATTCGCTTCCTATTGGTCAAAAATTGCCAGACGCCTCTGTATTTTCCCCTAAGGAGTGACGTCACCTCTGAAACGTGATTCCCTGTCCTGACTGCGTAGTCTTTTTGTTGTTTGCTTAATTTCAATCTGATAATTGTAGTCTTCGTCTGGATGTTTATTCAACTGCTATTCGTTAACGTGACCGGACCGTAAATGCAAGGGTTTCAGGAAGCAGCAGACTTCGAACAACAGCTTGAAAGGGGCACACATCTTGGCCATCTTTCTTCATTTCTTCCAATTCCTCCATTTTTTCACTGCCTCACATTTCTTGGCAAAAGTAAAAATAAAATGAACGAGAAAAAAACAATAATATATCAACAAGGCTTACACCATAAGGTGAAGTACGCGTACTTATTTGGATTTTTGTCCCTTCTATTAATTCTAGAGAATCATCCATAGGTATAACGTATTATCCTACGATAGGCCCGGCTGGCCTATTTTCTCCGGTGTAGTTCGCAATCACACCTGTCCATATCTTGCGGTCCTAAGCTCCTTCTTCCAAGTCGTTTTGAGGATTTTCAGTTTTCAGGTTGCAGTGTAACACGTCTTTACAGCGTATCATCGATAAAATATAAATGCAAGTCTGAGCTTGTTGTTTTTGCTAGAACGGAAACGCTTATCAGTTATAAGTAAAAATAACCGTGAAACATAATACCTCTGTTTGTTTCCACATTAAACGTCGGCGGCGAACTTTCCCTTATTTATTACTACGGCATCGTGTAATAGGACACATCGAACTTCGCACTTTGTACGCTAGATGGCGCCACCGATAACATCATGACGTTGAAAAATTTGGGGTTGGCCCGGGTCAAATCCACGAAATTTCCGCTCAAAGGCGCCGCCGATCTAGAGATTTTTCCACGGTATCGAAAAATTTCCCAGGCTCAGATACTATCGGGCCTTCAAAAAAACAAAAACAATCAAAGATTGCTATGGTTTTTTAAACGTATGTCTTAGCAATATTTTTCTTTGATTTTGTCAATGAACTTTAATGTCAAAATGTTATGTCAAAAATCCTGACCAATAAAGAAAAAATAATGCGACCTACCTTTTCGTAATCGAAGCAATATTTGATTGTTTTTTTTTTGAAGACCCGATACTACCTTCAACCAACTCTCCGTACAAAACACATTTGGGTAAATGGTTTTCTGGCATACCAGCAACATGTCCTGCCCAACGAAGTCTAGCCTATGTAACAATATCGCTCTTTGCAGCACTTGGTTATTGAAAACTTTGTGGAACCATTGATTATGCATTATTTGTCGTAGTTGTCTTTGCTGTTTTCTAAGGGTTTGATATGTCTTCTACATATAAGGTATCCACGTCTCACAGCAGTCCCAGCTGTAGGTTATTGCTGGTATAATTGTAGCTCAATAGACATCAACTTTGGTACTTATAGAAAGATCATGTTTGTCGAATAATCTGGCACTTAGTCTCCAGAATGATGCAGTGGTTGTGTTGATACGATGCTCGATTTCTTGGTCGATGCTTCCGGTAGTATTGACGATGATTCCAAGGTTATTAAAATGGTTGACGTATTCTACTGGGTTTCCTTGAATGTGAATTTCAACCTGCTCTATTGTGGCTGGGGTCGTCATTATTTTTGTTTTGTTTAAACATAAACTTAAGTCCTAAAGCCTGGTACGCCCATGAATACGATTCCAGGATCGTCTTTAGTTTTTCAGCTGAGAGAGCTACCATATGACAATCGTCGGCATATGTTTTCGCTAGGTCGATGAAAGTTATATAAATGTTAGACTGTTAGCTTTTTCTTGAAGTTACCTTAGAGTAAAAGTCAGTCTGCCTGTTCGGTCTAAAGCCGCTTTGTGACTCTGTCCACATGAGTCAGTAGTCTGGCAGCCATAACTTTGGTCAAAAGTTTGACATCAATGATATTCCACGGTAGTTGCCGCAGTCGGTAGCGCTGCCTTTATTTTTGTATAATTTGACAATATGTGCTTCTCGGAAGTATTATGAAACTTTTTCTTTTTCTATAGTTGGATCATCGTTCATTAGAGCTTTAAACACTTCTGCTGGAATTTGGTCGACGCCTGGGGCTTTATTATTTCTAAGGCTTCTGATGGCCTTTCTTATCTCTTCCGAGGATATTCCTCTGTCCATTTTGGTTACCATCTCGTACTGCAGTGTTCTAATGACGGTGTGGTCTACTTCTGCATGCTGATTCAAAATAGTCTAGTTCGTTTTTTTTTTTTGTAATCCTTTGCGATTCCAATTATTGCATCTTTCTTCCAAGATCAGAGAGTGGCATCTTTCTGTAGAGTCATCCTTCGTTAGCCTTCAGGGCCTGCAGTGATGTAATTATTCCAGAAACATCTGCTGCCTCAGCTTCAAAAATAGTTCTTTAGGTGGTAGTTTCTTACCAGATGCCTTTTTTCTTCCGGGTCATAAGCCATTAGGTTGCGCAAATCAAGGTTTGGGTGTGTTGCCAGGTTCCCAAATAACTTCTCAGCTTTTTTGAGTATAAACTCTAGTAGTGATGTACACTGTAGGTCTCTTTGAAGGTCGACATTGCGTATAAACCAGGGTGCATCCGCCGCCATCCTCAATACCTTATTTTCTGTTACAATCAGTTTTTGCGTTTGGGGTTGTACACACACTTCCCCATGTGGAGGAGGAGTATGCTAGTTGGGCTCTGAATTATTTGTGTCTTGGTTTTGAGACTCAATACGCTTTCTAGTATTGGGTAAAGTTGAAAGACAGCAGCCCTGGTTTTCATGTTGTTGTTGGTGATGTAAGATCTCCACGTGAGGCCTTCATCCATATGGAGGCCTAGGTATTAAATTTCTGTACTTCATTGAATTCTATCATCGCCAATTTTAATTGTGGGTCCTAGTGGCATTCTGCGCTTTTGGAATACTATTGCTTATGTCTTTGTGATGCTGATTCTAATCTAATCTTGTTTCTCTTACACCATGTTCCAATTTCTTCGATGTTGCTCTGGAGCTTTTATGATATTGGTATTAGTTACTCTTGTGAGGATGGTCGTGTCATCAATGCAAAGAGTAGTCATAATGTGGGGAGTCATTGAAATGTCACTAATGTACAAGTTGTACAATATTGGCTCCAGCACTGATCCCTGATGTACTCCAGCTTTAATTGTTTTGGTGGTGGACAGTTGCTTCCCAATTCTGACCTGAAAAGTTCTGTTGGACAGATACCTATGTATAAGCTGGCCAGTTTTAGTTGGTAAGTTCCATCCTATCATCTTTTCAATCACTCTGTGGTGCCATAGTTTATATCAGGCTCTTTCGATATCTAGAAATATGACGCCTGTGGCTATTTTGTAGTTGAATCCTTCTGAGATATATTCTGTTATCCTAAGGGTTCGTTGTTCAGCTCAGTGGCGGGATTTAAAGCCAAATTGAAAGGTGGGTATGAAGTTAAGTTGTTCTGTATCTTCTATTCATCTTGTTCTAATGGTTTTTTTCTACAATTTTAGATATTGTAGAAAGGAGACTTATTGGTCTATAGCTATCTGGGAAGGTAGCATTCTTTCCGGGTTTTCTAATTACTATAATGCATTTGGGAAGTAGTTTCTGAATATAGAGTGGACCAAATTTGCTATTGCTCTGTGGGCTTTTTTTGGTAGTTCTTTAAACATTTTGTTTATTACTCCATCTATTCCTGGAGTTTTTTCAATCTTGATTTTTTTAATTTGTTCATGTATTTTTCTGGGAGTGACATAATTGGTGGAAATCTTGGGTGTTAATGTATTTGTTAGGTTACTTATACCTTCCTTCATTATTTCTTCTGTCTGTACTAAGTCTTCGTTTTGGATTACATTTTCAACAAATATGGATTCTTAAGTATTGGCAAATACTTCTGCTTTTTCGGACTCTGAGTAGGCTATACCATTAGGTCCATGAAATGGTGGAATAACATTTTTGAAGCGTCTCAAGGCTTTTTGCATTCCCTAGGCTTCTTATGGGTATTGTAAAACTATTTTGATAGATAACTTTAAGTTAACTTCTGGAATTACATCAGAAGTAACGTCATTCCAGAAGTTAACTTTCAGTTATCGTGTCGGAATAGTTTTATAATACCCGCCCTTACTTCTTCATTCCATTTTTGGTCTCTGTAGTTTTTGAGTGTTGTTTTCAATTTTTGTGAGTGTTCGCTAAGTATTCTTTCAGATTTTAGTCTTTGAAGGTAGATTATCTTCTACTTAGCCTCCGGTTTTCCCTAATTTGATTTTGCAAGCTAATAGGAAAGTTTTCTATAGATCCTTTCCTGATTGTTTTGGTGGAAGAATTATTTTCATATGCTTGCAAAATTACTTGGTAGGATTCTACTGCTGCTTCAATATCTTCATTAGAAGTTATTTTTGGGGGAGGGAAGTATTGTTCTTGGGGCTATTTTTGTAGGTAGTCCAATTTATAATGGTTTTCTTGATTGTATTTTTGGTAATCTCTCCATGTCCTAGTTTTGGGATTAAAGGATTATGATCTGGAGCACCTTCATTAATAGTTGTTATCTCGAAATCATTGACAATATTTTTTAAAACTACAATGTCTAGTTATTGAGGGCTGTCATTGGCACCTGGGAGAAAAGTTGGAGAAGTTTGGCCTATTACAATTGCTCCGCAATTTTCTCTGCCAGTCTGGTCTCATTTGCACATTGAATTGTACTATTCCAAAGTCTTCACTTGCAGCTAAGATCACCAATAATTATTTTTGGGATATTATTGCTGAGAAGGTTGTTGATGTCTTCTTTATAGTAGTATTACTTGCCTGGGAACCTTGTACGCTGTGGTCACGTGTCTTTTTGCCGTTGCTAGTAGCTTCAACCGTCAGATGTTCAATACTTTCTATTTATTTATTTATTTATTCTTCAACGTTTCGACATTTACAGGTTTACAAGTAAGATTATTAACTTAAACTACCCAACCTAGAACAGCCCTTATTGCGCAACTTTTAAATCTCATATTGACATGTTGAAAATGTCTCACCAAAATTTATTTACACTCGCGGACACTCTTTTGACAGGACTATCCAACAAGTATCAAGAATGGCAAATTGGTATATGAATCAAGGCCCTGGTACGTGTTGGATAGCAAGGTATAGGTACGAATCTGGAATGTTTCCAAACATTCTGGACTCTTGATACAATGGTTCAGGACATTAAATGCGAAACATATATCATGGGTAGTATTCTCTTCTGCGGACAAGATATGCTTAATCCAGATATAACATAGTCTGATCATTGTCAAGTTCAATGCCATTGCAAAGAAGTTTATATTTAGCATATTTTATAAATTTAAGTTGAACATTTTCAAGTCTGGGTACCTATATAAACCTGATTATTCCACTCATGTATTAGAAATCCCATAAACAAGTGACGATTTTCAGAATTACAGCGAAAATTCTCTTTTCCATTTGTTTAACTAGAGAGAATTACAGCTTGTTATTGTATACACGGTTGTAATGCTAATTTTTTATACAAACAAACGGTTCCTGATAGCAACCATTTATTTGTATTGATTGTTAAGATGTTCAAATCGTTTAATACATATTTGTTTCCATATTTTTTGCATTCTCATACGTGAAATAATCCTCTAAATACTACTTGAGCTTTAAAATGGACCAGATAATTTTTCACTCATGCGTGTTTTCTCTGCAAATTATAGAAAACACGCAATCGTGAAAAATTATTGGTAATTTTGAAGCTCTCGTGGTATTATCCCCGATAATATGGTGACCAAACTATGTTTGAAAATTTCAAAATGGATCGAACCAGTGACGTTGCGTTTTTTCCACCAGCTATTGGTACTGGGAGGTTGCATAGTTCGAAGGCGTGATTTTTTCCACATTCACACAGCGTTTCGGCATGGAACAGCATGCTTGTGTGTGTGCGCGAAACGTTGTCAGTAAAAACACTGAGATGGGATTGAAGATTTCCTTAAAGTTTCGGTTTTCACTACCATGTCAACTAATCTGATAGTTTCATGAACTTTTTGTGATGTTGTCTTAATAAGGAATAGTGATAAAAGCTTAGTATGAATAAACCTTAATCTTAAACTTAACCTAAGCTCTTTTTTCCTTTTTCTAGGCTAAATTTGGACAACTTCCAAGTCTGTAAGGCTTTTTTCTTTCAGCTCATCAATATAATGTAGTGAACAGGAGTGTCAGCTCTGAGTCCTCTAAACACGGTAGGTTGTTTTGTTTCTCTGTCTGGGCTGAAAGTATAGTAGGGTTTTTTCATATTATTTAGAAGGCTGTTAGCTATCGGTGATCATCTGGTGTGTTTACAACAAGTTTGAGTCTTCTCCTATTTTTTTTGCCTTCTCAAAGTCAATATTATTGCCTTTAGGTTCATCTCTCAATTTCAACCATTCTTTGCTTCCGGAGACCACGATCGGCAGAAAATGTTCAACTTTACCAGCATAGGTTTTAGGTTCGGTTTCCATATCCATATTATTATATTCTCTTTGGGATTCACAAAAAGTCTCTTCTGAATTATTTTTTTCTCTTAGAAGAGCCTACTTAAGGCCAATCTTGTTCATTCACAAGTGAACGTTTATATTTTACCCTGTGATCCTCACTTGGTTTTCAAGCTTCAAACTTCCTTCAAGATCAGTAAAGGCGGCTTCAAGCTCTTCCATTTCTTATTTTGGTTGTTAAATTTCATCACTTTTCTGCATTATTTCATCGTTTGCACTAGTTTCTCTCTTAGTCTGCTAATTTTAGTGTCCTTTCCCGGGTCCGACACCCTATTTTTAACCTTAGACTCCGTGTTTGTCCCTGATTGGGCATACTTTCCGCTGCTTGACACCCTAGACTTTCTTGATGACTTCGAAGAACTGCTTTTGGTCATGCTGATCGGCAAATCCTTGTATTTCTTTAGCCTTGTCTGACCACCATTTATTCTTTATTTGTCATAGTCTTCGTGTTTGGTTTCTGCAATTCAGATAGCTGCTACACTGGCTATGTATAGTAATACCTTCAAGCCTATCCAGTACACCTCTGTTACCGCTACGTCATTCGTCTTGTTTGTGGGTAGATTTGACATCGTCTCGTGATAGCCATGTTGGAGATTCTCTACAACCTCTGGTGATTGGAGACGTTCAACCTGGAGTCTCTTTTTAGTTTTGGACTTCTTTTTTTGTATTTACATAAGATTTTTGAGACAACAAAGCGGTGATCTATATAGAATTCAATATTTGCGGTGGCTTTCGTTATTTTGACTTCACCACTGAGGTCCTTTCGTTTAACGATAACGTAGTCAATCATATCCCAATGACGTGACCTAGGGTGTCAACACGTGCCCTTATATTTGTCTCTCTGTCTGAAGAGGGAGTTAATCACGGTGAGATTTTTTTCGGTACATTTGGATAGAAGGAGCTCGCTGTTGCTATTCACATTGCCAATTCCATGTTTTCCGATTATATTTTGCCATATTTCTGCATTACGTCCAACGATCGCATTGAAGTCAACTAAAAGGGTCGTAAAATTCGTAGAATGCTTCTTTAGTTTATTGCAAAGCATCTAGTGTAGGGGCGTAGGCGCTGATTATATGGACTAAAGATTTGTCTCGTAGTTAGTTGGGTATTTCATTACCATCATAGGCGCTCTGATACACCATGGGGTAACTCTATAAGGCCGTATACTAAACTGTTTTTAAGTGGAAAACAAACACCATGGATTTCCTGGATCCACTAGGAAGACCTTTCCAATATAGTGTATAATTACCATCCACTAAGCTCCCCTCGTCGACCAAGCGTGTCTTACTAATTGCTATCAGATCTATTATGGTTTGCGTTTGGATCACTTATTGGTGATGTTTATTTTTTCGTTTCAGTTCTCGTTTCTTCGTAGTCCTCTTTGTCGATTGGTGTTGCGCATCGGCTGGTCTTCTTCTTGATTGCTTTATGCTTCTAGATTATAACTAACTATAACTAATCTATGATCAGTTGACGACGTATCAAATCTGTTATAGGCATCTTTCAATATATGAAGATACTAAGTAATTTGCATTAGGTATACACTTAAATTCCAACTTTAAGGCTAAAAGTAGAACAATAATGACCAAATGATTCACATACTTATACGGGAATTATTAGTAAAAAAAACTAAAAATTAATAATAATCAATAGTAATATAACTAGTGCAATGGAAATTATTGATAATTTTTGGGAAATTTGCCCGAATGCATTTTTAGTTAAAAACGCATGAGTGCAAATTTGTCGAAAATTATAAATATATTTCCATTGCACGAATTGTATTTAATGAGAGAATTTCAGACATCAAAAATTTAAATTTTTTGTCAAAAAAATGTCAAAACACCAGTTTTCGCACCAGTTAGTATGCAATTATCTGATAATTTGCACTAGTGCAAATTATCGCGTAATTACAATCTGATTGGTTCAAATCAACAATCAAAACATGTCAATTTATTGTTGGAATACCAGTTTTGACAGATGTATGAAATTCTCACAATCATTTATTTTACTATGAGCATTTATTTGTGTCAGTGGACAAGAATAATGATTCCATGCATATAGGTTGTTCCCATCTGTTACTCCTGAAAGTTTCACCACGAATTCTTTTGCCTTACCAACACAACACTGAGTTATCGTCAAATTCATATACATGATACCAATTATAAATATTTGTTCCAGGTATCCAAAGTATAAGACGTTCAGTGTCCGGCGCCCCATTGCCATCGCCACGTAAAATAAGTTCAGCGTTCCACAGAGACAAAAATCATGAAGTCCACTCTGTCACTCTAATGTTCGCTCAATGGGGTCAATTTATCGATCACGACGTCACTTCTACTGTCCGAGCTCGAGGTTTTAACGGCTCAATTCCTAGATGTTGTGAGGATGGTGGCCGGAGGGCTGTACCTCCACAATTTTTGGTAAGAATTTTCAAAATAATTATTGATTATATTACATAGATAGTACTCAAAATCAATACTTATGTCCAAACACTATGGTTTATTGAATCAAATATGTGTTCAGTATTGGAAACATTGGAAAATTTATTTTGTATGTCCAGCAATATTTCGGCATGTGAGTTCTTCAAATAAAATCTTAAAACTTGCAATTCCGCGATAAGAATAATTGAGGGATTCATTAATTTTCTGTTCCTTCTATCCCATCAATATTTGTCGAAAACAAAAATGTATTAACTCTTTATGAGAAATCAACAGTAGGTACATGGGTGAGGAGAGTTCCTCATCTTTTATACCTATTTGACATATTTATTTCCATGTCAGTCGTTTCTTTCTCCATGAAAACACCAACAAGTTGACCATTCATTTTCAGCATCCATCGTGCCTGCCAATAGAAGTACCGATAACCGATCCATTTTTGAGCCGGTTTGGTATTGGTTGTATGGAATTTCTCAGAAGCGCCCCATCAACCCGAATCGACTGTGAACTAGGCTGGCGCGAGCAAATTAATCAAGTCACATCTTATCTTGATGGTTCCATGATTTACGGAAGCGATGTAGATACTTCAGACTCCATCAGATCATTCAGGAACGGTCAGTAATAAATTAACCATAAACAAAATAGAGTAATTGGGTGGTTGATAGAAGGTCAAGTAGAGTCGTACATCTATTCTTCACCTGTTGTATGTCATATTGAATTTACAGGAATTTTAGCCTACCTACTCTGCCCTATCAACCTTCAAATATCTTTATTGGCTGCGTACTGGATTACTTATCATCACCATGCATTCTAAACAAATTCCACTAATTGTCAACAATCTCATAGGTCAGATATTCTATGGTAGACCATCAAATCAAGGTGCTTTAGAGCCTCCAGACCCACCAGGTGGTGAAATTTGCACCGAAGGTGCCATGTCAGATGAGTGTATTCAATCTGGAGATGGCCGATTCAGTGAAACTCCCGGCTTAGTGGCAGTACATACAGTCTTTGTCAGGTACCATAACAAAATTGCCAATCTACTGACTCAAATTAACAGACATTGGTCAGACGAGAGAGTGTTCCAGGAGACTAGGAGGATTGTTTATGCAGCAATCCAGCATATAACTTACAAGTAAAGTCTATTTCTCATTTGTAGTGCGTATTGTATAACTAGGTTATGTTGCAGAGAATATCTACCAGTAGTATTGGGCCCAGAAGTTATGGACCTTTTTGAACTCAGACTATTAAAGGCTGGATACTATGACGAATACGATTCGGAAATATTTCCGGCAATTGCAAATTCTTTTAGTACTGCTGCTTTCAGATTTGGTCACAGTATGATCCAAAACTCCTTCATTAGAACTGACAGCCACCATATACCTTTACCAAACAGTAAGTCTTGGATTTTTTTTTTTGCAATCAGCTTTTTAATAATTACTTTTTTTTAGATATTTCCCTTCACAATGAACCTTCTAACTTTGAAAATATTTGGAGCATAGGTTCGCTGGACCGATTGCTGCTAGGAATGTCTAACCAACTCTCTCAAAAACGTGACGAATTTATTGCTGATGAATTAACCAATCACTTGTTTCAATTTTCTGGTCATTTTGGTATGGATTTGGCTGCTATAAATATTCAACGTGGCAGAGACCATGGTATACCTCCATATACTTTTTGGCGCAAGCCTTGTGGTTTAGCTCCTCTTAATAATTGGCAAGATTTAGAGCAAGTCATGAGCGTGGCATCAGTAATGAGGCTTAGAAGCTTATATACTCACATAGATGATATTGACCTATTCACGGCAGGTTTAGCAGAGAAGCCTTTAAGAGGAGCTGTGGTTGGTCCTACATTTGCTTGCATTATTGCGCAACAATTCTCTTATTTACGAAAAGGTGACAGATTCTGGTATGAAAATGAAGGATTTGAATCTTCATTATCACCAGCTCAGCTACAGCAAATAAGAAAAATTTCTTTGGCTCAAATTTTATGTCAAACCACTAGCGAAATTGAAACTATACAGCCGTTTGTGTTTCTGTCAGCCGATGGTTTTAGAAATGTAAGAGTTAGTTGCGATAGCCCAGAAATACGGAATTTCGATTTGAGAGTTTGGGCTGAAAACTCATTCGAATTCAACAGTATAGCATCCGACGATATAGATTCATTCGAATCTGAACGATCACAAAGACTGAAACGAGACACCACCAAACAAAAACCAAAAAAGACAAACACTACAGCTCAACTCAAACAAAGTGACTATGCTACTACTATAACAAAAAAACCGTCAGTTACACACAGTACCAAACGTACCAAAACCAAGTCAAATTACTATCAAATTATTGACAGAAACCACGAAGACGTCACGTACCTTGTAGGAATAGTACCAGACCGAACGACCAAAGCACCTAACTTACTTGTAAACATTAATATAAACTACTCACCACAATCTACTACCAGTACTGCACCAATCATAAATAGAAAAAAACAAACAATTACAACCGAAAGACCTTACTCTGGTGACCAAGTGACTTTTAGACCAACTTTAGCCAGTTACTACAAACCAACTGATGACGACGTAGTTGTCATAACCAAACGACCAGTAACATCGACCACAAGACGACCAATAACATCTACAACAAGACGACCAATAACATCTACAACAAGACGACCAACTCTAATTAACAAAAAACAAACTACTGTGAGTTATCCAGTGTTTGTATATCATGCACCAACGACCAAAAGACCTACTTACTTTTTTGACAACATGGAATACGCCAGTACTAACGGACTTAAACGACCTAACAGTAATGGACTCGGCTACAGTGACAACTTTGACAGACCAACATCCGAGTACTTTTTCTCACAAAATTCTAGACCTTCACAAAACTCCAACCGACCCTCACAAAGCACCTACGGACCTACTCCACTGACGGTAACATTATCTAGACCTATAAACGATTTGCATTCTAACAGACCTTCACAAAACTTCTACAGACCTACTCAACTGTCACAAACATCTTCTAGCTCAGAATATTTTAACGAGCATTTGGAAAGCTCCAATAGACCATCACAAAACTTTTACAGACCTACAAATGATTTTGAGACAAACAGACCTTCACAAAACCAATACAGACCAACGGTTTTCGAGGACCGTCCATTTTCGAGCTCCTACTCGACTTTCAAACACAAACCTACTTTTGATAATTACTATGACGACAGTGAATCTGTTGTTATTACTGGGACTAATATTGATAGGGACGATACTACTAACAATGACGATATTTTGAACGAATTCTTCCATCGAAATAAAGAAGATGGTGGTACTCACAGAAAAGCTTCAAGCGATTTGGCTTTAGCAAGCTCTACTCCCAAACCTAGTGTAGATGACAAATTAGACTTTACATCTGATTTTGTTGAAATTTCTTCTGTAAAAAAGCAGGAATTTTTTGCCAGGGAAGGAATAGACGAAGCTAAGCAAAAACCTTTGAAAAAGAAATCAAGGTAAGCACAAATATATTTAATTTCTTATGCTTATGATTATTCACATATTGTTTAATTTTCAGAGATAACTGGAAAGTTTTTAGAGCCATAGAAGGGCCTATGCTAGATATAGAAGTTCCAGAACTTATATCTAGTGTAACTTGCTCGAATGAGGTCCCCAAACCAATGACTGAATTTTTAATGGCAGCGGAGGGTTTCCAGACCAATACCAAATCTAGATGATTACCAACATTTACGAACTTTTTACTACATACTACTACTGACCTGACTTGAACCTAGAGACAGTTTTACTTATTGACTTTTTACAACAAAAACTACAACTGCAAACACCTAAACCTACTAAAAACATAATTGTTATAAACTACTACTTTTTAATACAAATCTACCTTACTACCGAACTAAACATTCATTTCACTACAATCATACTAAACGGTACCGACATCTATTTAATTTAAAAATTGACTCGCATTCTAATACATAAAACCACAAAACAGACTACTGGAAAAGATTCGCATAAACTCAGGTCACTTACCAATACTTACCTATCTTCACTTACATTTACTCTTTACTTACTTTAATAATCGACTTAGGTACATTACCAGCTAAACCAAACTTAGATACTTGTTATTTACCTACTCAAACTTACCAAAACAAATATGAAAAAACATATTATACCTACCTAACGCTATTTATGAAAATACTTATGCTTATCCAATTAGAGATTCTCACTTACTTACTCACCTACTTACTCATCTTATTACGTTATTACCCAAAAAAGACTTAGGTACTTTATTACGACTTAACCAAAACTTTATACGTACCATTTGACATACGTACCTACTTACTGTCTTTGAAGCACAGCCTAATTTTTCGGTGAGCTCACTCTAAAAATATTTTAACAAGTTTATGAATATATTAGGAAGGACTATTATTTATTTTTTTTATCTATTTATTATTAATTTATTTTAGTATGTAAATTAATTTTTGTATAATTAATATTTATCCAGCTAAAATGCTGCCAATTTGGGTGATATGCTACTTTATTACATTTTTATTATTATTTGTTTTGTAGCTTACTTATGTTAGGCATTTATATAATATAATAAAATTGAAAATCAGTATTTGTTTTAATTTACAATTTTTGTTCCAATTTGAATACTAGGAACTAGAAACCATAACATAACTTCAATTATTGAATCACCAGACAATGACGATGAGCCGACAGGTGAGTTAGGATCTGAAACTAAAAAAAAAAGTAACTTTGAGCAACCAATGTTATATTGAAACAAATAAAATCATAAAATATTAAATCAATTCTTATTAATAATCCGAAACTTGTCGGTATTTCTTCGTTCAGTTATACTTATAACTATATACCTAATATATTTGGCCATTTAGTACATAATGTCCATATTAAGGAACGATACTCGCATAACAGGTATATATTCTTATTCTTTTTCATTCAACAAAACTAGTATTGAGTATGCAGTGATACTAAGGGCAGCGACTCATGAAGTATCTACTTCAATATCTAGCAATAATTATTTCGAATCGTGCAATAGGTACCAACATAAGGTACCAAGGGCAGAAACACACGAGGTACCTATCTCATCGCAAATAGGTAATTATATAACACTGAAGGGAATAACGCGCACGACAGTATATCAAATTATCAAACTGAAGAGAATAGCGCACGACAATGTACAAACTGATAACACTGAAGGGAATTTCTTACCTAAGAAATGTGACAAGTATTTAAAGTGCTTCTCGCACCTAATATTAAAAGAGTCTGGGGAACAGACAGACGGAGCTTTGAAGGATGCCGAACGATATTCCGCGTGTAGCTGAATTCACCAAAATGTTGCACCGATCTTATGGGTTCATTTGGGATCGGCTGAAATACCCTCCGTTGCCAAATAAATTGTTATAGGATAGGTTAGGTAAGGTGATGTTTTGCGGCCTTTATTACATCGGTTTCCACGATTACTTTCCCAGGCATGGTGTGGCGCATCTAAAATACGCACGGCAAATGGACCCCGGTTGCATCTAGACATTCCACTATACGATTCGGCACCCGTCTCTAAGGCGATTACCTGATTTAAATAATATTTTGATATGATGCCGAAACGCATAGTGGAATGTGTGAACAGTGTTCAAATCATAAGTGGAATGTCCATACTCATTATGCGTAAGTGCGACTACAGAAGTGCTGAATCACGTAGTCGAATGTCAGGACGGTGTCCAAAACGAGAGTGCAATGGCATATAATTATTTTCGCGCTACGCATATTCAGACCCTTCGTAAACCCAAAATTATTAAAGCTCCAAGTTACTATTTCAAACAAAAATTTATTTTCTGCCTAAATTTATTTTAGTAAAAACCCCGGTTCGATTCTCGTTGAAGGCAAATATGTAATTTTTTTTTCCTCAGGATTTTTATTTTTTTTCTAAAGATTATTGAAAGGACGAGTTAGTTTTTCGTTTAAAATACATACAAAGACTAGCCTAATTACGATTTAGGGAGCTCCGTCTGTCTGTTCCTCAGACGCTTGTCCTAATATTTCTAAATTAAATTAACCATACGACGGTCGAAATTTGATCGTGGCGCCATCTAAGACAAGGATTCAACACATATGTCTATGGATGGAAAAGCCAAGAAAATCAATCCAAAATTTTCTCATTAAATTACCATAGTTCGAAAATAGGTCGACTGATTTTTGTGTGCCGATAATTTTTGTTTAGAATTTCCATTAGCACAACATATCCAAATTTTAGACAATTTTATCGTTAGGCATTTTACCTTTGATTAGTGCGGGGTCCTTTAGGTACCACAAAATAGTACAATGAGAGGAATATTTCGAGCAAAGCATAAGCAGAATCAATCAAAAAATGTAAGGAATGTAGAAGAATAGATGTCGGGGAAGTTAGCAACACATTGAAAGCAGGATCGCTCATTCATGTTCCTGCTTGTGTAGCTATGGTCCTGCCTCATTCTGCTTCAAACCGCAATCCAGCAACACCTACCGTTTTCGGAATATATCGATTTCCATATTGGTTGCTAAGTTCACCCTTGGCAACACATTGGAAGCAGGATCACTGAAACATGTTCCTGCTTGTGTTGCTATGGTCCTGCCTCATCCTGCTTCAAACCGCATCCCAGCAACACCCGCCGTTTTCGAAATATATCGATTTCCATTTTAGTTGCTAACTTCACCCTTGGCAACACATTGGAAGCAGGATCGCTCAAACATGTTCCTGCTTGTGTTGCTATGGTCCTGCATCATCCTGCTTCAAACCGCAACCCAGCAACACCCACCGTTTTCGAAATATATTGTGTTCCATTTTGGTTGCTAACTTCACCCTTGGCATTTCATTGGAAGCAGGATTGCTGAAACATGTTCCTGCTTGAGCTGCTATGGTCCTGCTTCAAACCGAAACCCAGCAACACCCACCGTTTTCGAAATATATCGATTTCCATTTTGGTTGCTAACTTCACCCTTGGAAACACATTAGAAGCAGGATCGCTGAAACAGGTTCCTGCTTGTGCTGATACGGTCCTGCCTCATCTTGCTTCAAATCTGACCCCGGTAACACGTACCTACTATTTTCGAGATACAGCGATTTTTATTTTGGTTGCTAACTTCACCTTTGGCAAAACACTGGAAGCAGGATCGCCCACCCATCCCTCTGTAATTAATGCGAGCTTCTGCGTCTTGGTATTTTAGATGGAAAGAGCTAATCCAAGAATTGAATTGAAACTAACTCGTCCTGGGTTGTCCTGGGATAGGTGGCCTCCCTGCGCTTCCGAAAGGGTTTTTTTTTCTTTTTTTCTTAAAGATTATTAAGAGGACGGGTTAGTTTTAATTCAATCCTTAGATTAGATCTTTTCTTTTAAAATACCTCCATGCAAAGACTAGCATACATATCGAAGACAGCTATTTTCATCTAAATTACCAACATACACAGAATAGCATTCACTACGAAGACGGATTAGTTTGGAATAGCTCTTTTCGTCTAAAATACCATACATACAAAGACTAGCAATTAGTATGAGGGTTAGTTTGGATTAGCTTGGATTAGCTCTTTTCTTTCGTCGAAAATACCAACATACAGAGACAAGCACTCATTACGGTGTCTCGAGCTCGCCTACGACTGGACTCTTGTATTGCTACCAGTGTGTATCTCTAAAATATTAGGTGTTGCTGTGGTGATTGGAGCAGTTTGAGGCAATGCAAGCAGAAACATTTTGGAGCGATCCTGTTTTCAATGTGTTTCCAAGCCAAGGGTGAAGTTACCAACCATAATGGAAATCCCTATATTTCGAAAATAGTAAGTATTGCCGGGGTGTGATTTGAAGCAGGATGAGGCAGGACCATAACAACACAAGCAGGAACATGTTTGGGCGATCCTGCTTCAAATGTGTAGCCATGGGTGAGGTTAGCAACCAAAATGGAAATCGATATATTTCGAAAACGGTAGGTGTTGCTGGGTATAATTTGAAGCAGGATGAGGCAGGACCATACCAACACAAGCAGGAACATGTTTGAGCGATCCTGCTTCCAGTGTGTTGCCAAGGGTGAAGTAAACAACCAAAATAAAAATCGCTGTATCCCGAAAATAGTAAGTGTTGCCAGGGTCAGATTTGAAGCAGGATGATGCAGAACCATAGCAGCACAAGCAGGAACCTGTTTCAGCGATCCTGCTTCCAATGTGTTGCCAAGGGTGAAGTTAGCAACCAAAATGGAACACGATATATTTCGAAAACGGTGGGTGTTGCTGGATTGCGATTTAAAGCAGGATGAAGCAGGATCATAGCAGCACAAGCAGGAACATGTTTTAGCGATCCTGCTTTTAATGTGTTGCTAACTTCCCTGACATGAAGAATAGTGCCAAGAAATGCGCAGCAACGAAAACAGTGTGGAAAATATCATTGAACAAAGAACCTTCAGGAAAAAGCTTAAATTATAAACTTGAAAGATAAAAATGGCAACACTCCTAATAACCAATCGAGGACAAGTGGATAATTGATCATATACAGAGCATTTATTATAACGAACTCTATTCTTCAAAGGCACCCGATAGAAAAGTGTAAAACTCACTATTAAAAAATAGTATCAAAATTGAACGGAAAAAACAATAAGTTTATAAAATGTTCAAACTCACGCCCCTCTGCTGCTGAATAAATGGTCGGTAAATTCTTCATTCACCAGAATGTATCGATAATACGAGTATCGATACATTACATTCTGGTGCTGTTTGAATTTCAGTTCTCATAAGAGCTTGCAAATCAACCAATAGGGAACTTGCAAGTAAACAAAAAATTTCCAAATTTGTTTTAAATCGATAGTTTATACTGCCTAATATTTATATGATCAGTTTTTATTCAACTGATACCGCCCTTGTTACACAAAAAATATAGCTAAATTTCAAATAAAAAATTTCCCGCCAAAACAATGTTTCCATGATGGCTACCTTTTTGACGTCACGAGTTCGTTTACTGCGTTTGTTGTTTACGAAATCTTCACCACAGATCTTCACGTCACGAGCGCTGTCATATTGAAACCTCACGTTTTCGCGTGAAAGTTTTTAATTTGAATTTCAATAAAAAAAATTTCCTACAATGTATAGATTAAAATGGAAAAAAGCAAACCATGTAATATCCGATCACTAGAAGCAGTATCTAAAAAAAAAATTGAGAAATATGTGTTTCTAAAGTATAAAATGATTTCTGTTAACGAATGGTAAATGTGGCAACGCCAAACCTATATTGCAGATTTCTGTAATATCGGCTGCCCTGGGAGATTGCTATTGGGGGAGAAAAAAGGGAAGGGGGAATATGTCTTTGTCTTGGGAGTGTGGCCGTCTGGCGAAAGGCTGTAAAAAGGGGCAGTGCAAATAAAATGTAATTTTTGATTGAAATTTTCGAGTATTTATTACAAAAAAGTGTCAACAACAATTAGCTGAAGCTTAGGAATGGTTCCTAACATAAAATGGTCCTTCGAAACCCGGATGTACTGGTAATATTGCACAAATTGTAATTGGCAAGATGGGCCCGTAAAGCAAAGGACGGCGTCCATATTGGCATCAGGCACCGGCACCATCATCGTATCGATCAATATCGATCGTGACGTATATGGTGGGTCGCATAGCAACAGTTGCAACCGTTGCAACACACATCAAATGTCAAATTGGTAAA